AGAGAGAGAGAGAGAGAGAGAGAGAGAGAGAGAGAGAGAGAGAGAGAGAGAACTTGTCGATAGTGCGGCCTTTTGTCAGCAGAAAGGCCGCACAGACAGAGAGAGAGAGAGAGAGAGAGAGAGAGAGAGAGAGAGAGAGAGAGAGAGAACTTGTCGATAGTGCGGCCTTTCGTCAGCGGAAAGGCCGCACAGAGAGAGAGAGAGAGAGAGAGAGAGAGAGAGAGAGAGAGAGAGAGAGAGAGAGAGAGAGAGAGAGAGAGAGCTGCCTTTCCTGAGCGGAAAGGCGCACACACAAACTATCGCGCACACACACACACACACACACACACACACACACACAGTGTGTCTATCTATTCGGATAACCGCCCACCACACAAGCACACACCCTGTCTACGGCAGCTAATCAAAAACACGGGGAAAACGCACACACACAAAAAAGAAACGATGAAATCCATAGCGACCGCAGGGCCTTGGGGGGGAAGCACAACTAGCGGACATGTAGTATGGGATTTGGGGCATAGGGTCGATTTTTCGTAGAAGTAATCCACCCGTAGAACAGGCCAAGATACATTGCCATCTTATTGTACGTTGTCTATGGCATCACATCGACGATGGTCACTCGACGATGGTGACGGTATACACGCCGATCACGGCCAGGCAGGAGGGCACACCACGATGAAGGTGGAGGCGGGAAACGGGCGGCCATGGCCACGCACCATCCGCAGTGAGCCCCGGACCCGCGGCGACTGTACGGAAAGCGAAAGCCGCAAACGAGAAAAAAAAAAAAAGTCATTTGTACGGAACCGAACTGCATTACTTGCCAGTTTGGCCTGAACACAGATCCGTCTGTTGTCCATTCAGATGGACCTCCCTTCAGGCCGAAGTGCCAAATAGCGGTACCGGTACCGGTACCGGTACCGGTACCCCGTTTTTTCACGAAACGACAGAGGGTCGGCAAAAATCAGCACGCAGGGCTAGTTCAGGCTCGGATTCAATAGCTGGCCGAGGTACTGGTGGTTTAAGTAGCAATAGAAATTATAATTAAACCATTTGAAATTCACCCGTGGCCAACGATACTCAACCTTTTCCGCAACTAATTTTAAAGTGGAGATCTCTCAGTACTTCGAAATTCTTTAAAGTCTTGTGTCAACGATTTCGAAAGTGCTGAAAATGCAAAATGCACCTACGTTGAATACATCTTAAAAATATTTGGTGTTTGCCTTCCTACCTCAGTGCACAGAAACGCTGAACATCCTAAAAGATTTTGAAGTGGTGAAGATGCAAATATTGAAGTGGTCAATATGTTAAAGATTGTACCCCCCCCCCCATTCTCCTTGTTTTGTTTCTCTAAGGGGAGGGACTATAATCTTTTGTGTTTTCACCATTTCAATTTTTTTTATGATCTTCAGCGTTTACCCCCCAATGTGAGTGTGTAGAAACACTGAAGATTCTATCTTTTATGTTTTCACCATTTCAAAATTTTTATGATCTTCAGCGTTTACCCCCCTATGTGAGTGTGTAGAAACACTGAAGATTCTGAAGGAAGATGCTGAAAACTCTGGAGAATACCTCCCTCTATCCTAGTGTGTAGCAATGTTGAAGATTCTGAAGGACTTTGGAAATCTTGAAGTGGTGAAAATGTTGAAAATCCCCACCCCTCTGCCGTCCTGTTCGAGGGGGGCTCAAACCTTACGCATTTTTACCACTTCAAAATTTTCAGAATGTTTAGCGCTCGTCCCTTTGTACGAGTATGTAAAAAAAAAAAACGTTAAAAATCTGAAGATTTTGAAGTGTTGATGCAGAAAATTTTGAAGTACACCCTCCTTTGTCTGAGTGTGGAGGAATGCTGAAAATCTTGAAAATTCTGAAGTAATGAAAACGTTGAAGATTTTGACTACTGCATGGAAGAGAGAAAAGGAGCACAAACAACATATAAATCGGTAGGGCTCGTGCACGCTACTGCATGCCTGAGCCATACGGCAATGTCAAATGAGGGGACAACAAAAAACAAATCAATAAGAGTTGTAGCAGTTAAAAACAAGCATGTCCAAATCAATGAGAGTTGTAGCAGTTAAAAATAAGCATGTCCGACGTGCACAAGGCAACACTAAAAAGATCACCAAAAACACAAAAGCCTTCAACCATCAGTACAGGACAATATGTTATCCCGAACCTCTCTGCAGTGTGATCCTCGAGACAAATGATAGTCGGAATGGTACGTGACGGAGCGAACGATGGCAGGAGAAACGTTGAGACAGACTTCAGATGCCAGGTGACCACACCTCGCAAGCGACGGAGCAAAGGATTAATCCAGGTGACCACGCTTAGCAGGAGAAACTATGGGACAGACTTCAGATGCACATAATAGCAGGAAAAGAAGAAAGATCACCCAAAACAGGAAAAAATCAAGGTCCTGGTCATATGGCTGCACGAAACAGGTAGGTAGTCCTATCTTATTGGTAGCACAAACTCACATAAAGAGCTGAAGCACATTGATGCTGTGTTTTTCTGCGCGCCAGTTCATAATGTGCCCGTAAAAACGGTGAAATTCATACCAAACACCTGCAGGGCAAAATGTGAGGTTGATGAGAAGAAAATGCTCGAAGAAAACGCCCGTGAACATAGTCAAACGCATGCCAAGTTCCGCAGAAACATGCAACACACAGGAGGTGTTAGTACATCTACTCTAGCGCAAGGACAAGAACTAAGGAGGGAAAAGGCTATCGGCGTGAGATGAGCGCAGCGGACTAGGGGAAAGGCTGAGGACAAGACGAGCACGTCAGGTTTGAATCACCAGTACACACAGGCCTATTTTTTTTTTGGGCTGGCGCCGCCAGCCATTGTGGTTATGTAGACCCAAGCCGCATAATTTTCTGCGTAGCTGCAAGGCTGGGGACATGCACTCGCAGTGTAACTTTGACCAGGAGTTTGACGATAGTGCGTAGGGGATGAAGACACCATAAGGAGCCAGCTAGCCCTCCCTCAAGCGTTGAGCTGGAAATGAAATAACACCAGAAAGAGGAGGAGGCAAAGGGCAGGAGAAGCGCACTCGGTGCCATGGAGAGGAGGAAGTACCCAATAGTGCAATTCCTCTTAAGCTCAATGCTGCCCAACAGACGACCCATAAGGAGGGCAGGTCTGCAAGAAACTTGAGTAATAACCCATAACCCTAACAGGGCATCACCAATGTATTTATTTAGCGCATTATTGTCCTAGGTGGTGTGTAGGGACGACTCCACTTTCAGAAATTAAGTAACACAAGCACAGCAGCTGTAAGTCACAATGTACATTCAGTAGTGTATTGAAATTTCTCAAGCTTCTTGTCTACAAACGAGAGATTACCGGTCTCAACTTTCCACAACACATTATACACTCCTGAGTCCCCACAACATTCCACTTGGCAATCTCCCAACTGTGGACCCTGAACAATCCCACAGCATCACAATGCAAACAGATGTGTACCATGACATCGACCTGAGCTGCGACCTGACATATTCTAATTTCCCTACCCCTGCCTCATGATAGCATGCCCCTGGTTTGCTGCTTCACTTTCCGCAGTGTCTATTTCCCGGTCCTACGCTCCTCTCTCTTCTCTACACCCAGAATTACTTCCACTTTCTTCTCCTCTGCACCTCTGTGCTACATCCGTTCCGCATCCCCTCTCCTTCACCACGGGACGACTGACCCTGTGATGATAAATCTGCTGCCGCGTAAGGCACTTCATCATAACGAAGTTCGACATGGATACGAGAGCCAACTTCCTGCACAATTTCATTCGCTAAACCGCTAGTACCTTTGTCGGTTCGAAAATACTCAGCCTCCGACCTTTCAGGAGGCCAAAACGAAGCGACGGCCGGCGATAAGATTGATCAACGGCGGGCTCGGCCTCCTGAAAGTTCGGAGGTAGACCAGTACTTGTCGAAAATAGGCTCGGAGGTACTAGTGGTTTAAGCAAAAAAAAATCCATTCAATGATCCCTTCCCTTTCCACTCTCGATACGTATACATACCACAGGTCAGCCCATCTAGATACATCAGCAAAGAACACAGCCGAAACACGTTCTCCACCATCTCTTTCGACAACAAAATACAGACTGGTGCACACAACTCGAGCTGCAAATGAACGAGTTCTCAATAACTCCCTGAGAAACAGAGAAGTCCGCGCACACTGTTCGCATCTCCAACACTTTTAAGCTTTCCACTTGCTTTCCATCCCCCACTCACCTCTCCTTGCACTGACTCCAAGTTAGGTTGATTAGACCCATGGTCCACAACCCACTCCCTTCGGTACTTCGCACTTCGGGACTTTGCACACACAGTAATCCTTACGGCAACATGTATAAAAGCCTCTGCGGCTTTCAACTTGAACAGAAGAGGCATTCGAGACGACACACCACAACCAAAACAGCGGCTAAAGAGTCGCCTGCACTGGGACAAGAGAAACAGGGGACTCGATCCATCATCAAGTGATCGCTTCGTGCGTTTTCATAAACCCAAGATTTGTGTTTTACGCGAGCAACGCATGCATAAAACAACTTCGCAGGACCGGTGAGCAGGTGGAAAGATTGACTGTACATCTTCGCAGTTTCTTGCGCACTTCACTGTATCCACAATTGGAAATTAACCATATCCATTTCAATAACGTCTTGTTGTTCCAGTCGAGAGCAGGAGTTGTTTCCCCGGTCTGCGGTTCTTCTTGCCGCCTCCACTACCAGCTGCTGCCACCAAGTTCTCTCGACCCCCGGAATTGCCGCTCGCGCCAGCATTAGAACTCCTCTGAATGACGCTCGCGAACGACACAGGAGTTGTTCTCCCAGCTGATAACGCACAGGGGCGAGCAGATGGGCCAGGTGCAGATGAGAGATCCGGGGCATCAAAGCCCGCAGCGAACCCCATTTTCGCTACACTGGAAAACAGTGACCGCTTTGCTTGAGCAGATACCTGAGCCGGGGTCCCTTGCTCAGCAACTGAAGATGGCAATGGTGATGAATGGTTACCTGCGTACAGGACAAGGACAACATATCATGATACCCCACAGCGACAAGAGGACGGAAGACTATCAAATCGATATCGATTTCAAAAAACTCCTAGCATACTGCTAATTTATGCAATTCCCGAAACCTATTAGCTGGTGAGAATAAGGGCATACTCGCACTACCTGGATGTATCTGACCGCTTTCATGGCATGTCCTGGATGGATCTGCCCGTAATCATGTCGAGAGTTCAGTGCAAAATATCCAAATGTGGGTTTGCTCTACGAGACTCCAAATCCAAGGGAAAAGCAGCGGGAAAAGAAAGGAAAAAAATATTAAACCAATCTGAAAAAAACTACTCAAATAATTTATCCCGATGACAGCTGGATGCTAGCATTCAAATTTCAATGCTTTCAACGCCTTCGGCGCCCTGTACATGTAAGTCCTGCTCGCATTCGCTCTTCGGAGATTCAATGATCACCTTCACAAAACAGGTCTGCCCTTTAACACTCCGCTTGTCAACTTGTTCACATTTACTGCCGGGTTCCTTCCTGCTCGCGTAAGCTCTTTGATTCCATGGTAAACATATGGAGAAGACCAGGAGTCGGACTCTCCACGTAGTACCCACCGGTCCCCCCGCCGTCGAAAACCCCTAGTCCCTGTGAGTTTGGGCCGGGTTGTACGGACGGCGTCCGTACTGAGGCGCCGGGTTGTACGGACGGCGTCCGTACTGAGGCGCCGGGTTGTACGGAGGCCGACGTGTCCAATCCCGCCATTTTGCAAGCGGCAACTTTGCCAATTTTTTGTGCTCAGAAAAATCCATCAAAATGTCTGAAATTTTTTTGAGGGTCCAATGGTCCATAGATTAGGTCGTAATCTTTCAGGGAAAACTATCAGAAAAAAAATAAAATCATCTCGACGGTAAAATATTTGCCGCACCGATTCGTCTTTTTTCCAATTTTTGCTGCAAATTCCGTACGGAGGCCCGCCCGGTGTTCCACGTTGTACTACCAGTACCCGTCATGAAACGGCACTACCGGTACCCCCGAGTTTTCTCACGTCAGGGGGACCGGTGGCTTAAGCTAGCGTTGCATTCTAAATGCACAGTATGGAGTAAACTTTTTATCAGGCATGTCGTACTTTCTATCAGGCATGTCGCTTCACTGTCACGAAAAAGCGAAAAGGGTTATTTTTGCCCTGTGGGAATTCTTCAAAACAGCACAGCTCACATAACGATCAATCTCAATTCAAACCTTCCAACCATATATACATTCCGGACCTCCCTCCCTCCACTCGGGAACCCTGCTGGTCTTTTTTTTTTTTTTTTCCCAACCCGGACCAGTCCGGACATGATGATCCGGACAATCGAGACCAATCCGGACATGGTCCGGACTGGTCCGTCCGGGAATGCGGACGTCCGAATCATGACCATACCAAACCGTGGTTTGGGTCCGGGTTCGTCCGGCGTCCGGGGCCGCGGTAGCCATAGCGATTTTCAAAATAGTGATTGCCCTCCTACTCCACCAGATAGTGGGGACACTGCAAAACCCTTTCATGCTGATGCCAAAGTAAAGCCGTTTTGCACTGAAAGCTGGGAATTGGAAATTGCAAATGGGAGGGTGGGAGATCAACAGGGCATGCTGGACAGGCGAGGAAAGCACATTGTCCAGAAAAATATGGCAAGGCCTACCTTGCTCATCTGGAATATTATTAACAGCTGACAAAGATGTAGAGGCTCCCTGAGATGGACCCGGTGCAGGTGCTTGTGATGGAGAACAAGTGCCCGTTCCAACCGAGAGCACGGCCAAAAAATCTTCAGCTGTAGGAACCTTCGCTCGTGCAGCAGCAGCAAGCTTTTCCTCCCTCGATCTCAATTCCTGTTCCTGCAGTTGTGTGCATTTCAAAAGCAGAAAGGACCAGAAACGATGACAGTAAAAGGATAAGCTTCTGGAGGGACCCAGTAAACACAGAAAGGACAGACTGTCAATGACTGAGACGCCAGAAGCAGTGACTGCGCCTTCCTTACATTTTTTTACACCCTGCAATCTCTCGACGACTGCCAAACCGAGATCGAACATATAAAGTGCCACAGAGTCACAGACTACCTGGCCAATGAAAACCTGCGATCTCTCAAAGAATGTCAAACAAAAGATCACGTCCTACCAAAAGCATTTACAGCGCCACACAAGCTACCAAGCCAAGTAGGGATAACGTCTTTGCAAAGTATGAGGGTCTCCACACAAAATCTTTGAGCAGAAAGCGCCAGACTCCGACATACCAAAGCCTGAGCAAAACCCCCCAGACTCCGTCACATGTCGTGGGCAACACATGCCAAGAATCATTCCATCCCTGCAAAATAAGGCTGTAACGAATTTACCGTACCTGTAACAAGGCTGTAACCAATTTACCGTACCTGTAACAAAACTGTAACCAATTTACCGTACCTGTAACAAGGCTGTAACCAATTTACCGTACCTGTAAGAAGGCTGTAACCAATTTACCATACCTATTTCCCCGCCGGTGATATGCTAAAGGACAGGACTAAGTCACTTAGCTGCGCAAAGACTGCACGAAGGAATGAAAAGGGCCTGGATCAGAGCTGTGGATTTCGCTTTGTTCTCCATGCAGATCGGGTCGGGTCTAAATTTAATGAGGTTGTAGTGCTATCCCTCCGACAGTGGTTGTTGAGAGACATCATGCACCAGAGGATACCCTATTAGAGGGCACAGTATTGCGCACCTATCAGAGTATTGCTAAGGACTGTGACAACATATCACTTGCCTGCTTTTGCCGTCTTCGCCTGCGATTTTCCCGCTGCTTGATTTCATCCTGGAACGGCTCCAGAGAGGAAGACGGGAGGGTTTCCGACAAATCCACTTCACAAAACTGCAATGCGCATCATAGAGCAAACAGTCAGCAAAGAGCAAAAGCCACTTCATCAAATGAGATTAAGACTCATTTATAGCAGTTCTATACCCCATTATTAAACCACCAATACACAGCCATACAGCGGAGCGGGAGCACCTCACCACGAGTTCTGGAGGCCCAAAACGCGATGTTGGCCCTTGATGGAATGGAATTTATCAACTCACCACGAGTTTCGCCGGCCCCATACTTTTTGGACTAGGTGACAAGTTTCTTTTCAGCAAGGCTGGGGCCTTGTGCTGGCAGCTGGTTGAAATACTGACATCTTCCTGTGCACCGCTCTCACAGCTTTCACAAAGCCGATTAGCATGTATGAATCGTCCGATTAGGATGTATGAAGGCCAGGAGAAAAAAGAAAAGCAACTGAAGGTGAAGCAGCACTGTTATGCGTTAAATATTTACCCTATCGTGAGGTACACCGCCCCTACGATTGAATACCAACGATTACATTCACTCTTGACTTGCACTAATTCAACCCTACGATTACATTGAAGATCGCATGAGAGTCACAACCTCGTATCGGCCTGTTTCAGATCTTACAAGTAACACCGAAGAACTATACAGCCTGATGTGCATACAACAGCAGCAGAGGATTGACGATCAATGAATTCACGCGACTATTCTCGCCCCCTCACTAGCGCACCCAGAAACTCTTTGAACAACTCACCTGGAAAGATGACGTGAGTGGCAGATGACTCAAGAAGCGGAAACGTCTCCGTGTGGCCTCCGCTTGGACAACAGACTCTATTTCTAGAACCTTCCCTTCAAGACTGCAAACAAATGGACCAACCAAAACAGCCAAAACCCTAGTTAGTAGTACTCCAATGTCGAGATTAATAAAGATTTGAACTCCTGTGATCCCTCTCGTCCTACGAGTCAAGACCTCAAATCAGTCAAATGAAACTCCTCCCGTTTTGTCCATCCTACACAAAACAAACATGTCATGCCCAGCAGTCAATGTAAAGAGCCAAGACCCCACCTCCTCCACCGGAATACAACGTACCGCATTATTGGACGTATTTAGACTGAAAGATACCCCAAATACAGTTATAATAACCGTACGTTGTATTCGGTTCAAGAACATAGGTGATACTCCACTGCCAAGGCCATCAAAGACAAAACTCTTTCGACCCGTCTCTTCCAACAGGGACAACATGCCATGCCCCCAGTATGCTGCTGTTGACATTTGAACTCCTCTCTCGGTCATACTTCGAAATAAAACTACATCAAAACATCAGTAGCTGTGAAGGGTTTGATGCACCTGCACAATGCAGACTGTCATTAAACAAATACTTAGTGGCAACTCCCGAGAACCTAGTCGACAGGTCGTCCTCGTACAGAATGTGAGTTTAACTAATAGCTTTGCCATAACGCTACATCGAGACCACAGCCAACAGAACTCAGCGCACGCAACGGATCTGGTAATAGGAAAGCACTGGCAAACTCCTCAGAAACCGGGGGGGGGG